TCGGACGCTTAACCGACTGCGCCACCCAGGCGCCCCTAGAATACATTTTTAAGGCAATGTACATCTTGGCATGCTGTGAAGATAGACTTGTGGTTAGTTCTCAGGGAAGGCTCCTCCCACCCCACCTCGCCTTTCATGCAGGGCCAAGGAAGAAAGCTAGAATTCATGGTTTTCCTATATGGGGAAAGATAAGTTTTTAGTTCACCCAACAAAGGTGCCATTTTTAAAAATACCTGCTCTATTCATAGGTCTGACTCCCATGTTATTGCTCTAGTCCCTGTAGCCCATCAAAACTCCAGTTCTAGGCCTCCAGGGATGGGCAGATAGCCGTCGGAAACTTCTCTCCTCGGTTCTCCTGTTCCTTACTGGATTAGTGCTTTCTCATACCTCTCAGTTTGCTGCCAGCCCTGCTATGCACTATGATGATTTTATATTTTACCTATCACTTTTGAAATATTTTGTGCCAGGAATGTTTCTTTAAACATCTGGTCTGCCATATTGCTGATTAACCATGTTTACGATCTAAATTGGGGATTCAGCTCATGTGGAAAAGTATAGGAAGCAGGGAGACCAGCTAAGAGGCTGTTGTAATAGTTCAGGCTAAAGATAAGACCTGCGTTAAAGAAAATTGCAGCAGCAGGTGAGAGAAGCAGCTGAGTAAAGGGTAACATCTGAAGAGCTTTGGCAGGGTGTAGTACCAGGAAGTTGGGTGAGAGAAGAGAAGCAAAGCTAAATGCAGGGTCTCCAGGTCAGGATATTAACTTGTTAGAGATACCACTTACAAAAAGCATTTGAAATACTCTCCCAAATGAACCTGAGTGGGATCTAATGTGTCTCAAAATCCCATTAATTTTTTTAAATGTGTTCACAGGCATGGAAAGAAGAACAAGATCGATTAGCAGAAGAAGAGCGCTTAAAGGAAGAAAAAAAAGCAGAGAAGAAGAGTAAGGAAACTGGTAGAAAGAAAGGCAAGGAAAAGGTAGAGAAAGAAGACAGTAAGCTTGTGAAGAGAAAATCTTTTTTGAAGGAGAAACCTAAAGAAGACCAGCTGAAGATCCCAGAAATAACAGAGGAGCCCCCCCAGCATCCAGAACCTGGGGTCGTTTATCCGGTAAAATCGATGTTCTAAGAAGCCTCTTTGGGTCCTTACTCATTGTTTTGGGAGAAACACAGCTTCTGTGGAAACACAAGTTTCCCAGTCTTCACTGACCCCGCCGAAGGCCTTGGAGTTTCTTCTAGCAAAGATGATCTCAGACCCTACTCCACCCTCTAATGCCTAGGATGTTCTTTGCAGCCAGTCACCAAGATAGGAACACCCTGAGGCCAGTTTTCCATGAGTGCCCTGAAGCCAGGTTACTCAGGGCAGGAGAATGGAGATTTGACACAAAAACATTCATTTAGGTTAGTGTAAATAAGCAACTATGAAAGATCACAGTGAGCACAGAGGTTGGCTGTGTTTGTCTCCATGACAGGGCCTGCTGAGTTAGACACCCACGTTTTTTGCTCGTATGCTTTGGTAAAACCTCTCCCTCAAGCAGTCTTATGAGGAAAACCTAATGGGAAAGAGATGGACAGAAAAGAAATGAAACAGCCCTTGTCCTTTCTAGCAGCTACTCTAAGCCAGTTCTCAGATGTTAGCATGCATCACCAATCACTGAGAGCTCTATTAGCAACATTTAGTAAAACATGCCTTTACCATAGGACTTCGTAAAATGCAGTGTGTCAAAAAATAAAGAATAAAGTGTCAATATTCCTCAAGATATCAGTTCACTTTAAACAGAAAATTAACAGCCAACAGAAGAGAAATCGATTTCTCCTCCCACTGCTTTTCAGTAGTATAGTCATTTGATTTGCACTAGGGTATCCGGGCGCTCCAGTGAACAGATTTTAAAATCTTGGGCCTCCTTTAATTCTGCCTGTCACTGTAAGACCACAGGAGGTGCTAAAGATAATATGGACACGAGCCTCTGAGTCTGCAGAGTGACAGGCATTCATTTAGCAGAAATTTAGCTTATGGCGACTGGAACTGGCTCACATCGATGAGCTGATTCTTGTCAATTGCAGCTCCACACTCAAAGCATGATTTTTCCCTTGTAGTTTTGTGGATACAATATGGGAGAGATACCCATCCAGATCTCTGGAACAAATTCTTACCTGTATCCTTCAGATGGAGGGCAGATTGAAGTAGAGAAGACAACATTTGAAAAAGGTACATTTTGAAGGCAGCTGGTTAATAGCTTGGAAGATAGTAAACCCTTTCAGGTGGTCTCGGGGCCTTGAACCATGAGTGTGATAGGTGAGGGTGGTGATGTGGCCACTGCAGTTTCTTATGCGCCACATTCAGGATTTCCAGACTTCACACTCTTCTGTTACAATCGCCTGCAGGGCACGGGCCAGCTGAGAGGTTAGCTGGGACGCTCTGTGAAGAAAATTCCAGTGGTGAAAGTCCTAACGTATTTCTCTATGATCGGGGAAATATTATAACAGTAACCACAACAAGCAAAGAGTTAATTAGTAGTATTAATTACAACACGTAGTGACATCTCAGAAACCAAGCACATACTGTGAGTTTACAGCAAATTTCTGGGTTGGTGTCTGGAGCACAGAGTTTGGGGGCCTGCCGCCGAGGTCAGTTATTTGAGCTACAGAGAAGTTGCTTCTGGATTCAGAAGCCTGTGAGTGGGAGAGGAATCTGGCAGATGCACTGCAGAGGACCTAATCTGGAAACTGCATGAAGAAAATGCATATTTCTTCCCCGGGAATCTATCAGGGACATCTTTGAAGGCTTATCTTTTCACTGCCCCTTAAAGATCTCTCAGGTGGATTGGAGCTAGCTGGTTGTCTCTGAGAGATGTGAGGAGGTCCAGGAAGACCCTGTGTAATGTCCACAAGGTTATGCCCCCTGGGAGGGGGCAACACGGGCTCCTCCTATTCCCACACTCCACCTGATGCCAGCCTACCCTCTTCTCCCTCCTCTCCTTCTCCCCTCCCTAGGACCAAAAATGAGTCAGAACACTAGAAGAGAGAATGGGCCGTTAGGAAAATGCTTATTTGTTGCTATCAACAATAATAACTGCTATAACTGATTGATGTAATTCTTTGTAAATTGTAAAACCCTTTCACATCAACTGACTCATGTGATTAATCACAAAATTGAGTGTAGGTAGCCTCAGCCACTGTATTTTCTCTTCTGTAATTTGATGAGAAAGTCTGCAAACAGGGGCGCCTGGGGGGCTCGGTTGGTTAAGTGTCCGACTTCAGCTCGGGTCATGATCTCTTGGTTCATGAGTTTGAGTCCTGCATCAGGCTCTGTGCTGACAGCTCGGAGCCCAGGGCCAGCTTGGGATTCTGTGTCTCCCTCTCTCTCTGCCCCTCCCTTGCTTGCACTCTGTGTCTCTCTCCTTCAAAATAGACATTAAAAAAAATTTTTATTTTAAAAAAAGAAGAAGAAGAAACTCTGCCAACATCTCCCTGATCCACCTGCCATTCATTTCTGGGATTCCACCCTCACTCTCTTCCTTTAGGCATCTTTTTGTAAACTAGTGATATCCGTAGGTGTTTCCACTCCCTGGAGTACATTCTATACTGCCTTATGTACATGTCTTGTCAAGCGCCCTAATGGGGTATGACCAGCAAGCCCACCTTCTATCCCCTGATTTTCCCCAGGGCCAACTTTTATCAAAGCGACTGTGAAAAAGGACAAGCACACTTTTATAATTCATTTAAAAGACCCTAAGAAAATTGTGAAAAAGGAAAAAAAAGAAGAGGATAGTTCTTTGGAAGATGAGAAAGAAGAAAGAGAGGAAGAGCAAAAGCTTGACACAGGCAAGCGGATGCCCCTTTGCGTGAGTGGAGGTTAGTCCTTGCGTGAGTGGAGGTTGGTCTTTGCCTGAGTGGAGGTTGGTCCTTGTGTGAGTGGAGGTTAGTCCTTGCATGAGTGGAGGTTGGTCTTTGCCCGAGTGGAGGTTGGTCCTTGCATGAGTGGAGGTTAGTCTTTGCCCGAGTGGAGGTTGGTCCTTGCGTGAGTGGAGGTTAGTCCTTGCGTGAGTGGAGGTTGGTCTTTGCCCGAGTGGAGGTTGGTCCTTGTGTGAGTGGAGATTAGTCCTTGCGTGAGTGGAGGTTGGTATTTGCCCGAGTGGAGGTTGGTCGTTGCGTGAGTGGAGGTTAGTCCTTGAGTGAGTAGAGGTTAGCCTTCCAGCAGTGCGTCAGACCCATGCATCTGACAGCAACACACATGCATCTCTACCACTTAGTGTAATTTTTCCAGATAGTAAGGCAAGCGCTTTGCCATTTTGCTTATGTACATTTTCCCTGAGGTAATGTGTACATACCCTGCACACACAGCCCATGGATAGTGGGCTACTCACTTGGTTTTTACCCCATCTGGATGCCCAGTTCTTGAGTCCAGTTGTCACACAGAGTCTATATAGGTGGCTGCCTTTAAGTAGCAACATTGAGTGTGCAATGTCCATCCTTGTCTGAATCTTTTACACAACTTGTACCAAGTGCAATCTCTAGGACTTGGGTTCTCATTAATTCATTTCTCCTAAAGTTTTAGCTTTTCTCCAATATTCACTACAAATGATGGGGTTTCCTTCTGTGCTCTATCACTTAGTTTTCCCCATGGTATCACATTTTTTAGGTTACAAGGACAAGAGAGAAATCCTATATTTAGTCTTGAGCGTCTCTACCTCTGGTAGTTGGGAGCTCCAGGTAGACGTCCTGTGATTATACACCATGAGACTTCCTGATAACACTATTTAACATCTCCAGGCAGCACCACCTGGGAAGACTAAATGCTTCCTGCCCAATGTGACATGGATTATACCTGCAAAAGGGAAGAGTCAATTAATCAAACGTTTTGAACTCAAGTCACTGATAAAATATATAACTAAATCTTACCAGTAGATTCAGTTATGATCACAGTGTTCTCCAAACTCAAAAAACAATGCTTGACAAGTTTGAATGTACCCAAGAACTTAAAACATAAAATTTTTAGTTACTTTTCTTCATTTTGCCTGATATAAGAATATGTGGTTTATTATTTTTTAAAAATTATGAAATTTGAATATTTAAAGAAAATAACAGTTGCCCATAATCCTGTCACCACAGTGGTAACCGCTATCGTAGTGTATTTCTTACTTTATGATCAGGAACATTTTCTTACTCATTAAATATTCTTCGAAAACAAAGTTTTCTAATTATTTCATAGTGATTTATTGGTATATACATATATATCAATAATTTACTTAACCATATCCATGTTTTGGGGTGCCTGGGTGGCTCCGTTGGTTGGGCGGCTGACTTCAGCTCAGGTCATTATCTCACAGTTCATGGGTTCAAGCCCCGTGTCAGGCTCTGTGCTGACAGCTCAGAGCCTGGAGCCTGCTTCGGATTCTGTGTCTCCCTCTCTCTCTCTGCCCCTCCCCCACTCCTGCTCCGTCTCTCTCTCTCTCTTAAAATTAAATAAACATTAAGAAAAATCATATCTATGTTTTTATATACACGATTTCCACTTTGCACTGTTTTTGCTTATATTTCTTTTTAATAAAACGGACATGCCCTTGATTTGATTTTGTCTTTTAGAAGAATCAGATGCAGAGAATAAAGGTGTCAGCAAGTTTGGATCTTTTTCGGCCACCTTAGAAAACGGCATCTGCCTCTCAATAAGTTACTATGGACCAAGTGGAATGACACCAGGTAAAATAAACACAACAGCAAGGATAAGTGTCCCGTGACCAACGGTACCTGTCCATCCTCAACCTGCTCACTTGTTGATAAACACGTTCTGATTTAATGCCCCTCTTTTCCTGAAAGGTGGGAATATATGTGTGAGTGTGTATATATACATGTGTATTTACATATATGTACATGTATAATCTTTCATACATAGAAAAAAAACAGTGCTTTGACATTTGAAAAAGAACTTATCATATGTAATTTTACATATAGTCACATATACATATAAAATTTTATAGATAGATAGATAAATAATTTCAGTTATCTTTGTTAACTAGCCCAGGAAAATAAGTCCATTAGTTGATGCCAAAAAAAAGCATGATTTCTCAAGGAATCCTCTTGGTTTTCCACATAATATTTTTACGAATCCTGTGATTGTGGAATCTCAATGTACTTCAGAACTTAACAGCCTTAAAGGAGCCATTCACTGGACATCTTGAAGGATTTCTTTACCCCACTTTTAATGAACAAATTCTCCAACTGGAAGCTATTTCCTTACAAACCACAAAATAATATGTCACTTAACCAAGAACCAACTAGGAAATCTTGTGGGTTCCCACGCGTGTTACAAGGATCTAAACACACAGATTTCATTAAAAAGATAAAACTTTACAAAATCAAAAGATAATCCCTATGCTATATAGCCTTAAAACTATGTGTAGTTTTATCTGCCTTGCTATCTAGCTCTTTTTATGCAGAGACAATATTCCATTGGATCGTTACAATCTTTTTCTTACCTTGTACAAAATATTGTAGTACTCTAGTGAGTCAGAGAGCCCATTAAATTTGTTAGTATTTTTGCTTTATTTGGGGTTTTATATTTTAATTTTGTATTTGGTTTGTTTCTGAGCCAGCACTTGAAGTCATTCTGTGCCTAACAAATTATGTATTAGATTCATTATCATACACAGTCACTAAAAAAATCCTATCCATTCTTATCATGATTTCAGATTAAGACATTTACACTCTACAATCAACTCTACTACTGCTGTTTCTTAAGTGATTTCCCTATTTTTTATTTAATCCTTAAGTTATTGTGCAAGTATTCCATTTAAAACAAATGTTCCTAATTTCAAGTTATAAGTACTGCATTTGAAATTGTTTCCAGTGTGAAACAAGTGGAAAGGCATCCCAACACTCATGGATTAGAAGAACAAATACTGTTCAAAAGTCTATACTATAGACACTGTAGTGAAATAAGTCAGGCAGAGAAAGACAAATACCATATGATTTCGCTCATATGTGGAATTTGAGAAACAAAACAAACGAGCAAAGGAAAAAGAGAGAGAGAGAGAGAGAGACAAATCAAGAGACAGACTTTTATTTTTAAGAAATAGACTCTTAGTTATAGAGAGCAATTAGGGATTAAGGAGTACACTTGTCATGATGAGCATAGGATGAAGTACGGAATTGTTGAATCGCTGTATTGTACACCTGAAACCAATATAACAAAGCATGTTAACTAACGAATTAAAATCCAAACTTAAAAAAAAAGTAATGTTTTACTTTTCGTATATTAAAAATATTGAAGGCATGAGTCTTTACAAAAAATATAAACTCCTTACATATGCACATAATAGTAATGTTTAAGAACTTTTATCTGCTAATAACTAAACAAATTTCCAGTCCAGTTATCCCCCCTTAATTGGGTATATACAGCTTTCCAGAGCTTATTCATCTTGCTTAACTGAAACTTTTTACCCATTGAGTAATAACTCCCCATTTCCTGCTCCCTGAGCCCCTGCCACCGCCATTTTACACTTTGATTCTATTATTTTGACTATTTTAGATAACTCATGTAAATGGAATCGTACAGTATTTGTCTTTCTGCGACTGGATTATTTCACTAAGCATAATTTCCTCAAGGCTCCATCAGTGTTGTTGCATATTGCAGAATTCCCTTCCTTTTTAAGACTGAATAGTATTCTGTGATATGTATATGGCACATTTTATTTATCCATTCGTCTGTTGATAGACATCTGGGTTGTTTCCACCTACCCAATTCTTTTTGTGACTTTTAGTTCCTTGAGTGCTTTCTCTTATCTCTGGCCATTTGCTCATGCTTTACCTCTTGCTCGGACCACTTTCTCCTGCTGCATGTACCGCCACTTAATGACAGTTAAGCTTCCTACCATCCTTCAGGTCTCAGCTTACAGATTGCTTGCTCTGAGAAAGACTTCACAGATCAAGTGGCAGTAGCATGTGAACTGGGTCTTTGGAAGTGAGTGGGAATTGCCTAAGCAAAGAATCAAAGGAAAAGGGAATTCTAATTACTAAGAACAGTGTGTACAAAATCTCAGTAACATAAAAGCACGACTTGTTTATGGAAAGGCAAACTGTGTAGTATAGTCAAAGTATAAGTTGTATAGAGGCATTTTGTGTTTGATTCCCTTCTTTTGTGTTCCCATGGACCACTGTACCTCCTCTATCATGGACGTAACACATGCCATTGTACCTGAGGGTTTTTTCATTTGTCTACCCGTTACAGTGTAAATTCCCTGTAGCCTCGTTCGTCATTGGTTACCCAATTCCTAGTTCATGATAGTAGGTACTCAATAAATATTTACTGAATGAGTAAGTGGATGGGGATGAGAGAGAGGAGTTTCCAACTGCCTATAACTGGACATCATTCACTTGTTTATATACTGTACTTCCTATGGGTCAGGGATCTTGCTGGCACTGAGCCATGATGACGAATAAAACCATAGCATATCTCCTCAAAAAAACTCATTGTCTAATGGGGAGAGAAAACATAAATAGAGAAATAACTGCAGAAGTGCTAGAAATTATATATAAACAGAGTTCCAGGGGCAGCTAGAAAATACTTCAGAGAGAAAATACAGCATCTGAAGTGGTACTTTAGAGACGAATGGGAACTATCCAGACAAAGCAACAAGGAAAGGCAATTCTAGATAGTAAGAACCATTTGCATAAATGTACAATTGTGTAAAAGCATGCCATCTTTACAGAAAGGTGAAGAGTTGAGTGTGGCTGGAGTGGAGGAAAATGAGTCCTGTATGCCCTATAAGATCAGTGAGTGTCAGAGGTGTTTAAGTAAGGGAAGGGAAGTGACATGATTGGATCTCATATTACGAATATAATTTTAGTGATAGTTTGAAGAATACACTGAAATGGTGGTATTGGAGGTGTCATACCAGTTAGGAGCCTGCTACAGAAAATCAAGAGATCAGTGAGACTACAAGCCAAGGGAGGACTAGATAGGAGAGGCATCATTCAAGAGAAATTTCTGATGGCTTGGTGACTGGTTATATAGGGTCAGCCAAAAAGAGAAAATGCAAATGGCCTCACTGTCTAACTTGGGAAATGAGGTGCTTGATTGGTCATTGAATGAGATTTGAGTACATAGACTTTCCTGTCCTAGGATAAGAGAGAATCACTGAGTTTGAAACGTCTCCAGTACGACAACTGGGGGAGATGTCTAAAGGCAGTTGCACATACGAATCTGATGCCCAGAAAGAAAGGTCATGCCTTGAGATGTAAATTTTGGACTCATCAGTATGTAGATGATAGTTGGACCACCAGTAGTATATGAGATATTCAGGTCTATTGTATGTAATAAAGGTGCTCAGTCCTGGCTGTGTATCACAATCACATGTGATTTTTCACAGGTGTAAATACCTGTGCCTCATCCATAGAGAGTCTGATTCAGAGGGTCAAGGGGGTGGGAGAGTGCTGAGCTTTTTTTTTTTTTT